ATAAATGTATAATGTATACATACACATATAAATGTATACTGTATACATACACATATAAATGTATACTGTATACATACACATATAAATGTATACTGTATACATACACATATAAATGTATACTGTATACATACACATATAAATGTATACTGTATACATACACATATAAATGTATAATGTATACATACACATATAAATGTATACTGTATACATACACATATAAATGTATACTGTATACATACACATATAAATGTATACTGTATACATACACATATAAATGTATACTGTATACATACACATATAAATGTATACTGTATACATACACATATAAATGTATACTGTATACATACACATATAAATGTATAATGTATACATACACATATAAATGTATACTGTATACATAACACATATAAATGTATACTGGATACATACACATATAAATGTATACTGGTATACATACACATATAAATGTATAATGTATACATACACATATAAATGTATACTGTATACATACACATATAAATGTATACTGTATACATACACATATAAATGTATACTGTATACATACACATATAAATGTATACTGTATACATACACATATAAATGTATACTGTATACATACACATATAAATGTATACTGTATACATACACATATAAATGTATACTGTATACATACACATATAAATGTATACTGTATACATACACATATAAATGTATACTGTATACATACACATATAAATGTATACTGTATACATACACATATAAATGTATACTGTATACATACACATATAAATGTATACTGTATACATACACATATAAATGTATAATGTATACATACACATATAAATGTATAATGTATACATACACATATAAATGTATACTGTATACATACACATATAAATGTATAATGTATACATACACATATAAATGTATAATGTATCCTTCCTGATGTCAATGTCGCACCTCATGATGGAGCTGTGGACGGTTTCCTGAATACCAGCAGATTCCATACCAAGGAAGGAAGGCTGGAAAAGAGCCTCAGCGCAGCGGAAACGCTCGTTACCGATGGTGATGACCTGACCGTCGGGAAGCTCGTAGGATTTGTCCAAGGAAGAAGAAGCGGCAGCGACGTTCATCTCACTCTCGAAGTCAAGGGCGATGTAGCAAAGCTTCTCCTTGATGTCACGAACGATTTCACGTTCAGCGGTGGTGGTGAAGGAATAGCCACGCTCAGTCATGATCTTCATCAGGTAGTGGGTCAGGTCACGACCAGCAAGGTCAAGACGAAGGATAGCATGAGGAAGAGCGAAACCTTCATAGACAGGGACAAAGTGAGTCACACCATCACCAGAGTCGCAAACCTCACCAGTGGTACGACCAGAGGCGTAGAGGGAGAGCACGGCCTGGATGGTAACATAGGTGGCAGGTACGTTGAACGACTCGAACATGATCTGAGTCATCTTCTCACGGTTGGCCTTGGGATTGAGGGGAGCCTCAGTGAGAAGTGTGGGGGACTCCTCAGGGGCAACACGGAGCTCATTGTAGAAGGTATGGTACCAGATCTTCTCCATGTCATCCCAGTTGGTGATGATACCGTGTTCGATGGGGTACTTGAGGGTGAGGATACCACGCTTGCTCTGGGCCTCATCACCGACGTAGGCGTCCTTCTGACCCATACCGACCATCACACCCTGGTGACGGGCACGGCCGACGATGGAGGGGAAGACGGCGCGAGGGGCGTCGTCTCCGGCGAAGCCAGCCTTGCAGAGGCCGGAGCCATTGTCAACCACAAGGGCAACAAGATCCTCGTCGTCACACATGATGGTCACTTATGGATTCAGAAATTCCCTGAATGAAAAAGAAACATATTTGAAATAATAATAGACATTAGCTTACATATATGCATGCAAAAAAATCTTAATATTCAAACCACTGATACAAATATACTTTGCAAAAGACACACATCCAAACAGAAGCACAGACACACGTGGGCATGCACACATACATATATTGATAAATGTACAAATTTGTATATTCTGAATACATATATATGTATATATGTATATATAGATATATGTATGTGTGTTTTCAGGTAACTATATACCTATATATATGCATATATACATCCGTACATGAATAGACACATAAACGTAAATACATATACATACTATATATATACATATACATACATATATATATATATATACATATATATATATATATATACATACACACACACACACATATCTATGTGTGTGTGTGTGTGTAGATGTATGCCTTTTTCCCTAGAAAACACACACAAAGGCATACGCACAAACAAACACACATATAAGCGTACACAGAAATGTAGATGCATTGTGAAACACACACGTGTGTATTTGTGTTTATTTGTGTGTTACCGTGATTATACATATATATCTGTATATACAAAGGGACACATGTGTATATATGCACATATATACACATATACGCATTTGTGTATATATGCACATATATACACATATACGCATTTGTGTATATATGCACATATATACACATATACGCATTTGTGTATATATGCACATATATACACATATACGCATTTGTGTGCACGCGTGTGTGTGTATGCGTACATATACTGTATATATATGCATATATGTTTATATATGGTTGCATGTGTGCCTGTTCATGTGTTTATGAACTAATGTTCACATGTACACCACATGGAGGTACATACAAAAGAAAGCTAAATTTTATCAATAGTTTTATCAGATAATGGAAATCCTTTACGTTGATTTATCAGTTTAATGTCTTATTTAGTTATTCTTTATTTTCCATTCGCTTGTCATAATTCCTGATCACACACACAGTCTTCTGAAACCATTCTGTGTGGTCGCAAAGAAGAGACATGTTACACATCACTTGCGGTCGGTAGACACAACACAACCTACCCACTGAGAGTCCTAGCGTGACTAAGTATGCTCTCTTTCTAATTTCTCTTAAATAGAGTTTGATAGAATTTTTGGCATCTGTTCAGCTTTTGCAAGGCTGGATTTTCCTCCGTTTTCTGTGACAGGCTTTCTGTTCAAGACATGATGTAAGTTACTTCAAAAAAAAACATTGGAAATACATTGTATCTTATGGAAAGGGATAAAGAAGTATTATCTCTGAGAGAAAAAAAAGACCACTTCCAAAATGGGAATGACTGATGAGGTATTCTCGACGAGTTCGAAACGTCCTTTTTTATTTTATTTCTTTTGTGACAGTAATCCATTTTTTCTGTTACTATACTCGTACTTTATTTTCACAAAATTTTATTATTATTATTATTATTATTATTATTATTAACATTATGACCTGTTTCTCTTGCCTATAAATGAATTACTAACATTTAACAGTTGGAATCAATGTTTATACACTGTACATCCTGCACAACTATATCATATACTGCAAAAGGTGTGTGCGTGTGTGTCTGTATGTGTGTGTGTATGTGTGTGTGTCTGTGCGCGCGCGCGCGCGTGTGTGTGTGTGTGTGTGTGAGAGAGAGAGATTTTTTCTCTTTGAAAATTATGATAATCTCGAATAAAAATCATAGTATGACATAAACATTCCCTTCGCATTCCCAAAACAAATACACAAAATACGGAGATATACAATAGAAATACAAATCAACCAGAATACAAAGAAATATGGCTTAATTAGCAACGACCATTTTTCTGCGTTGATGTCAGCAAGCAGTCGGTTTATTCACAGCCTTCCGGGATCAGATGTCACAGGCAGTGGCGATCCTGTGTGCATGTGTGCGTGTGTGCCTGAGTCTGTTTGACTGTTAGTGAGTGTGGTTATGGGTGCTTGCCAGATGGTGTGCGAATACTCGCGCGGTATTTCTGGTGACTTCCTTTGCTTTTGCGTGTATACATGCATATAAATATTTCTTTCTATATGTCTATATATATATTCATATATATATATATATATGTATATATATATGTGCATATATATATATATATACATAAACACGGACGCACGTACGCGCGCGCACACGCTCACACGCTCACACACACACACACACACTCACACACTCACAAGCATAAATACGCAGACACATATAGATAGACAAATACATATATGTGTGTTTGTGTGAGTGCACATGTGCGTTTGTTTGTTGAATTGTTGACAAGGACGTTGTATTGTACGAGGCGGACACCTTTGGTCAACATTCCGTGCCTTTTGGTTTTGATGGCCTCTGGCAATTTCTGTAGCACAGAAGCGTAGTGCGTTCCTGTAATTGTAGTATTTTTTGACAGGAAATTCATCATCCCTACCCCATGCTGGTCCCTATACAATGTGAACATGACCTAGCCTGCCGAGGGTATGACACGTGCCTTATTGGGGGTGGTGAGACAAAGTGCTTCCATTATTTTTCACTGGACCTTAGTTTCATGGTGATAGACCCAAATTTTACCCTGCGTTATTAGCCTGCCAAAAAAGTCCTGGTTTTCTTGACACATCGCCTTGGATAAATAGAAACCCTGGGAATCCATCTATCAGACAATTTTTGTATATGCAGATGGTCATGAATGAAATTCTCCACATACGCAACATTAATCTTGACATCTTTAGCTAGCTGGCTAACAGTAATAAGGCGACTTCCAAATTGGCAATCTCCAATTGATATGTGTGCGTATGTATGCATATATGCATATGTATACCTATATACATATATATCTATATATATGTATTTATATATACATATATATGTGCATCTACACACACACACACACATATATAACTGAAGTAGCTGGACTTATAAGGGAGAAGCAGAGGTATAGTAAGAATCTAAAATTGAGTAGACTGAAACTGAACACAGAACTACGGACAATTTAATATATATATATATATATATATATATATATATATATATATATATATATATATATATATATAACATAAACACGGACGCACGTACGCGCGCGCACACGCTCACACACTCACACACTCACAAGCATAAATACGCAGACACA